TCTATTCACATTTGAAAAAATCCAAAACATATTTTTGTCTCATATTTTGCAAATGACTGCCCAGTCATTAAAAAGAATCAAAACATAAGTTTAAAATGGAGTAATAGATCGTATCCAAGTGCAGGGTCGGGTCGAGCAATGATTTGCGAGCAGGAGATAATTTCATTTTTCTCGAGGAAAATCCTTTTTAGTAAAAAATCTCGTATAGATTACCTTAAGGCATCAATATTTAATCTATGAATGTCATTTTTTTTTACTCATTTTATAAATGATTATTTTACACCTTTGTCTGCTTCGATAAATGCTGTATAATTCAAAATCGAGTAATATCTACATGTAGTACAGGGTACATGACTTGTTTCTTTTTCTTGAATTATCTCAGTCTACCAAAACAAATAAATTTACAGGTACATTTACTTTCATCAACAGAAATAGCGTTTAATAAGTACCAGCACTGAATTATGTACATTTTAAAGCACCAACACCATATCACTGCTTTCTTTCAGTCGACTTCAGATGATCGTCAGTATGGTGATGTTACAAATGGTATTCGTTGTTTTTGGACTACAGGGCGTTGTTGGTGATGTATCTTCCGTCTTCAATAATGTTTTTTTCGATAATCTGATCTCTTGGCTTCTCTTTCAAATAGGCTTTTTGATATTCCGATCAATTGGATTCCTGTATTTTTTTAAAATTCAGCTTCATTTAAGATTTTATTTTCAATTCTCCGTTTATCTATCACTTTGCTGTTTATTTATTTATTTAAAGGGCAAGGTTTCACGTACTTTGGACCAAAGTCAACCGGCGCAGACGACGCGGCATCCATCGTGGCCTGTCCTCCAGGATTCGTTGGTACGGACTGCGCATGCTCCAATGATGCTGATAGGTGTGACGGAGCGTACTTCAACAGTGACGGCGTGTGTACAGCTCGTAACACGTATAGGAAGAGCGGAATAAGAGTGAGTGGTATTTTTTTAGAGTTTATTGACAGTGATTTTTATTATGCCAAAATACGTGGGCAAGCATCTGATCATGAAGTGAAAATAAAGTAGGCAGAAAATGCTGCTAAAGCCTGTCTACGTTTGTGGTTCCAGCACCAGCGCAGGGTACATGTACTTGCCACGTGATACATGCCACGCAAGAAAGGGCGGGGGATTGCTTATGTAATTTAAAATAAATATAATTAATCGTGGGTTAAGATATGACAGTGTGACATTAAATTAATTGCTTCTCGACTTCATACACGTATTTATCTCTCTTCATTAAGGCGCGTGTGACCTGCCAACCGCTCGAGTCTCTTTTTCATATGACCAGTGTGGGAAGCCCTGGCTACGTGTCTAATCCTGTGGTTTCCTGCCCCGACGGCAGCCACCTCCTCCATTGCGGTTTGAGTCATCCGTGAGTTTTACAGTTTTCTAGTACATGCGTTTATAGCCCATCTACTTAGATCTTTATAAACTAAATCTTGTATTCAGTTCCTTTCGTGACTAAAGCAATAACACAATAAAACTTTATCTATGGACTTGGGATTTACCTTTTTATTAACTTTTATGGTTAATAATTCTTGCTGTACGACACAACTAAAAATACGAGCGGTGGCCTGCATTGGAGCCAAAGGAAGGGCTGAAGCATATCTGAACTCTCTCTCTCTCTCTCTATATATATATATATATAGAGAGAGAGAGATTTAGGTATATTAATAACATGTAGGAGTTCATAACATTTTATCATATTCGGCATACAAATGAATGCAGATCTGCATTCTTGCAAGTTTTATTGCGAAGTTCTAATACTGATGCATCTATGAAGTCTACTCTAAAGATGAATAATTACATTAATAAGATCACAATTTTCATCTTTGTAATAGATCTTCATAGATGTATCAGTAATATTACTTATTTACTCCTTTAAGGTGTACGCGAATATTTGACATGCATCTTCAAAATTGCAAAGATCAAAACAAATTTTTTGCCTCAAATATATGAAGTTGCCCACTCTTTAGGTGAAAATCGTTGACATTGAGTAGGAAAGTAGCCCTAGCTTTGATTTTAACTACACCAGTGGTATGACCCAAGTACTATAGTAGTAAATAATTCATCTGAGGTCATATATATTTGCTATCAACTTTACTTATGTTTCATTCTAGGTGGATTCAAGATGAGAGTGACCCACAATTCAATGTCGTCACTGACGTGGAGAAAAAGCAATGCAGACTGGAGGGCAAACAATGTGTGAAGTGTCGTCTGTATGCCTATTGCATTTCCGTAGGTGCGTAATGGGAAGACATTTACGTGGTCTAGTCAGTATACGTAATGGCAACAACTAGGAATTTATTTTCGTCCACAGTTTACGATTAATTTAACAGTGACTGAAAAAACCATGTCACGTTCCACGGTGTAAGGTACGGGGTGGGGGTGGGGGGGGGGAGGGGCTTTTGGATTTTTTCCCCAAAATGTCTACAAAAATACATGTAGATAGATACATGCGCATTTTACTTGCGGTTCATTACCCACTCCCAGCCGAACCTAATCATGTAAATGGTTAGTGCGGTTTGATGGGGTAGGGCATGTAGCCAAAAACAAATGAAATTGTCTTCCGCCTTGTTTCAGGCAAATAAAGCCCAGTTGTTGTTATTACACGCGCACGGAAGACATCAATGCAGCAGGAAAAATGCAAGCAGAATGATAGTACTAATCGGCGAAATTCTGTAACGGTCTTCAACTATATATATACTTGCTTGTAGTAGGCAAACATTCCGCTTTTACATTATCTGACAAAATGAGCCTAAATGCTAAAAAGCTCTTTCAAATCTGAGTTGCGATACTATTTGAACTATGGGCCTCCAATAGCTGGTGAATTTGACAGCAAGGAAGATGGCAATGTTAATTAAATACAACAACTATTAATAAAATATAATGCTTGAAAACGTGTTTCCTTGTTATATCCATGCCTCAAACTTTTTACTAAACATGTTTAGTGAAAGTACAATATAATGAAGCATTAAAATGAACAACAACAGTTGGAAAAAGGGGGGGGGGTCTGCGCATGCGAAGCGTGCGGAGCAGCACGTGCCACACGTGATGTGATCTCACTTGTTGCAGATTTGACCCTTGTCTCTCTCTGAATATAGCTCAAATATCCCCCATATCCTGACAAAGGTAGTCCATGCCCACCAGGTGGCACTGTAAGGACAATAAGACGAAACAGCGGTTGAAGTAAAAGTAGGTGTCTGTATTCATCAAAATATGCCCCATAAAAAAACAAAATATGTAAATTTATCACGCAGGATAAATAGCAAGGAAGGATTTAAACATATGGCTGTTGCTTTTATTGCGCATTTAGCTTTAATGGATCTCGTTGAAGCATGATTTGTATTCTGAATTAAAGGCCCGACAAATTTGGTAAGTTGGTTAACTTGTGGCGAATTCAGAAAATATAATTCAATTTTGATTAAAGCAGCGGCACAGCGGCTTAAAAAGATATTCTGGCAGAATTTAAGAAAAAATGTTTTCTGTAGATCCATAAATAAGCAGTTGGAAATAAGCATTAATCATTCAGTTTTTGCTCGACTAATCGAGAGAGAGAGAGAGAGAGAGAGAAAGAGAGAGAGGGAGAGAGAGGGAGCAAGACTTCTGAAAACACTTGTGGTACCACAGTGACATAACGGTATCAAACAGGTAGGTCATAGGTCTGCATTCATTTGTATTTTGATTTCTCGACAACATACGGGAATTCAAACATATTTGTATATGACACAGTCCAGACTGAAATCCAGGCACATTTTAATACCGCCTAGGACAGATTGAATTTCAAAGTTACAGATAATTTTAAATAGAATAATCACATCCATCAGAAAAATATTTTATGTAAAGAATCCCTGATCAAGAACTCATTGCATTAACTTGGTTGCATGCGGAGAATTAAAAATCATTTACTTATATTTTTTTTGGCCTCACCTAGGGGTTCTTTTCACTGCATATCAGTCCTATGAGTACTTTGACCAACATTTTGATAATCCTTATAAATAATTAATAAAGCTGCTTACGTGATACTTTGAGTGAAACAGTTAAGTAAAAAGTGGATGGGACCTTTAGTGCTAATAAAATTGCATATCAGTTAGGTGCGAAAACCCGCATAGGGGGTTTTAAAATCACGCCTGGTTTTCAATCTGGCCTGTGCATGTGATATGTACTGAGTATATATATATATATATATATATATATATATATATATATATATATATATATAACTGCCAATATCTCAAAGCCGCGAAAAGGGACATAGAACGTTATAATTCTCACCCGACGATATATATATAATTATAGCTTATTAGGATAGCTTAAAAGTGCTAATGGAAATCGCACCAACACACCAGCCAGTCGTAATAATTAAGTGATCTTCATGTTTAAAAATATTTTTATTGAATTTCACAGCACTTGTATGCATTATGTTAGAGTCACTAACGTGAGTGAAAAGTGACAGTATGAGTTTGTTTGTTTGATTGTACATTTAATACATATGTATATTCATAATTATAATGGCTGTGCTCTCTACTCACGCTGAAATGAATAATCCCCCTATCTTTAATTTCGTTTTTAATTCATTCTTACCAAGCACGTCTCAGAGCAACCAGGCTGGGTTCATAAAATATAGTGCATGCTTTTTACGCGGTTTTCTTATAAAAAGCTGTCCTTCAAGATAAATGTGAATTGTTGACATGTTCTACAGCTATTATAGCTTATCAGCTGAAACATACACTGGTATCATGTAATGTGAGCGCGAGCATGTGAGTAATGGCCAAACCGATGATATTTTTGTTTAACGTACTCTTTCTCGAGTTGATGAATTTCCCCAATGTAAATAAGACGGGAGAGGTTGCCACCTGCCTGAGCGTGTGTTAAAAAAGTTAAACATAAATTTATTTTCCTTAGTCTCTCAACTGCCTTATTTTCTTTACTGTATAAATACCGCAATAAAAGGCAATGCTTATCCATTCCCTTAACGATAGGTTCTGTTTGTATGGGAAGAGGTGAAACCACGTTCCAGAGCTGCTCGTGAACCAAAGGCTGAAAAAAGGTGAGTTTTAATACTATATATTTTTAGATGTATAGCTGATTTTGCTCTGTGCAAACATTTACCTTTCTTCCTTACTTTATTTCTTATGTTTGTTATGTTATGTTTGTTATTGATGATAGAAAACGCTCCTTCACGGTCCACGAGGAAGGAGTACTTTTTTCTTTTCAGATATTTTAAAATCCTGTACAGTATAAAGTTTTAAGGTAATCTATTCACATTTGAAAAAATCCAAAACATATTTTTGTCTCATATTTTGCAAATGACTGCCCAGTCATTAAAAAGAATCAAAACATAAGTTTAAAATGGAGTAATAGATCGTATCCAAGTGCAGGGTCGGGTCGAGCAATGATTTGCGAGCAGGAGATAATTTCATTTTTCTCGAGGAAAATCCTTTTTATTAAAAAATCTCGTATAGATTACCTTAAGGCATCAATATTTAATCTATGAATGTCAGTTTTTTTTTACTCATTTTATAAATGATTATTTTACACCTTTGTCTGCTTCGATAAATGCTGTATAATTCAAAATCGAGTAATATCTACATGTAGTACAGGGTACATGACTTGTTTCTTTTTCTTGAATTATCTCAGTCTACCAAAACAAATAAATTTACAGGTACATTGACTTTCATCAACAGAAATAGCGTTTAATAAGTACCAGCACTGAATTATGTACATTTTAAAGCACCAACACCATATCACTGCTTTCTTTCAGTCGACTTCAGATGATCGTCAGTATGGTGATGTTACCATTGGTATTTGTTGTTTTTGGACTACAGGGCGTTGTTGGTGATGTATCTTCCGTCTTCAATAATGTTTTTTTTTTCGATAATCTGATCTCTTGGCTTCTCATTCAAATAGGCTTTTTTGATGTTCCGATCAATTGGATTCCTGTATTTTTTTAAAATTCAGCTTCATTTAAGATTTTATTTTCAATTCTCCGTTTATCTATCACTTCGCTGTTTATTTATTTATTTAAAGGGCAAGGTTTCACGTACTTTGGACCAAAGTCAACCGGCGCAGACGACGCGGCCTCCATCGTGGCCTGTCCTCCAGGATTCGTTGGTACGGACTGCGCATGCTCCAATGATGCTGATAGGTGTGACGGAGCGTACTTCAACAGTGACGGCGTGTGTACAGCTCGTAACACGTATAGGAAGAGCGGAATAAGAGTGAGTGGTATTTTTTTAGAGTTTATTGACAGTGATTTTTATTATGCCAAAGTACGTGGGCAAGCATCTGATCATGAACTGAAAATAAAGTAGGCAGAAAATGCTGCTAAAGCCTGTCTACGTTTGTGGTTCCAGCACCATCACAGGGTACATGTACGTGCCAAGTGATACATGTCCGCAAAAAAGGGCGTGGGATTGGTTATGTAATTTAAAATAAATATAATTAATCGTAGGTTTAGATATGACGTTATGACAATAAGTTAATTGCTTCTTGTACTTGATATTTATTTCTCTTCATTAAGGCACGTGTGACCTGCCAACCGCTCGAGTCTCTTCTTCATATGACCAGTGTGGGAAGCCCTGGCTACGTGCCTAATCCTGTGGTTTCCTGCCCCGACGGCAGCCACCTCCTCCACTGCGGTTTGAGTCATCCGTGAGTTTTACAGTTTTCTAGTACATGCATTTATACCCCATCTACTTAGATCTTTATAGACTAAATCGTGTATTCAGTTCCTTTCATGACTAAAGCAATAACACAATAAAACTTTATCTGTGGACTTGGGATTTGGCTTTCTATCAACTTGTATGGTTAATAATACGACATACCTAAAGATACACCTAAAGATACGAGCGGTAGCCTGCATTGGAGCCAAAGGAAGGGCTGAAGCATATCTGAACTCTTACTCTCTCTCTCTCTCTCTCTCTATATATATATATATAGAGAGAGAGAGAGAGAGAGAAAGAGAGAGAGAGAGAGAGTTTAACACATTTATATTAGGTATATTAATAACATGTAGGAGTTCATAACATTTTATCATATTCGGCATGCAAATGTCTGCAGTTCTGCGTTCTTGCACGTTTAATTGCAAAGTTCTAATACTGATGCATCTATGAAGTTTGCTATAAAGATGAATAATTACATTGATAAGATCACATTTTTCATCTTTATAGTAGATCTTCATAGATGAATCAGTAATATAACTTATTTCCTCCTTAAGATGTACGCGGTGATTTGACATGAATCTTCAAAATTGCAAAGTTCAAAACAAAATGATGAAATTTTGCCTCAAATGTATGAAGTTGACCACTCTTTAGGTGAAAATCGTTGACATTGAGTAGGAAAGTAGCCCTAGCTTTGATTTTAACTGCACCAGTGCTACTACCCAAGTACTGTAGTACTAAATAATAGGCCTACATCTGAGGTCATATATATATATATATATATATATATATATATATATATATATATATATATATATATATATATATATATATTTGCTATCAACTTTACATATGTTTCATTCTAGGTGGATGCAAGATGAGAGTGACCCACAATTCAATGTCGTCACTGACGTGGAGAAAAAGCAATGCAGATTGGAGGGCAAACAATGTGTGAAGTGTCGTCTGTATGCCTATTGCATTGCCGTAGGTGCGTAATGGGAAGACATGTACCGGTACGTGGTCTAGTTAGTATACATACCTGTAATGGCAACAACTAGGAATTTATTTTCGTCAACGGTTAACGATTAATTTAACAGTAACAGAAAATACCTTGTCTCATTACACGTTTCACATACATATACATGTGCATAAAGAAAACAGCGCAATGATGCGGTGTAAGGTACCGTGGGTGTGGGTGGAGGTGGGGTGGGTATGGATTTTCCCCCAAAATGTCTACAAAATACATGTAGATAGATACGTGTGCATTTTACTTGCGGTTCATTGCCCACTCCCAGCCGAACCTAAACATATATAAATGGTTAGTGCGGTTTGATGGGGTAGGGCATGTAGCCAAAAACAAATGAAATTGTCTTCCGCTTTGTTTCAGGCAAATAAAGCCCAGTTGTTGTTATGACACGCGCACGGAAGACATCAATGCAGCAGGAAAAATGCCAGCAGAATGATACTACTAATCGGCGAGATTCTGTAACGAACTTCAACCATATACACTTGCTTGTTGTAGACAAATATTCCGCTTCTTCATTATCTGACAAAATGAGCCTAAATGCTAAAATCTCTTTCAGATTTGAGTTGCGATTCTGTTTGATCTAAGGGCCTAAATTCCAATCACTGGTGAACTTGAAAGCAAGGAAGACGGCAATTTGAACGAAATAAAACAGCTACATGTATTTTAATACATTAAAATAAATATTTCATACTCGGAAACGGGTGTCCTTTTTTATTGCGATACCTCAGATTTTTTTGGTAAACAAGTTAAGTGAAAGCACAATATAATGAAAAATTAAGATGAACAACAACGATTTGAAGGGGAAAGGGGGGTCTGCGCATGCGAAGCGTGTGGAGGAGCACGTTCCCCACGCGATGTGCTTTCTCCTTTTGCAACTTTGACCGTTGTCTCTCTCTGAATATAGCTCAATATCCCCCCATATCCTGACAAAGGTAGTCCATGCCCACCAGGTGGCGCTGTAAGGACAATAAGACGAAACAGCGGTTGAAGTAAAAGTAGGTGTCTTTATTAACATAACATGTAAATTTATCACGCAGGATAAATAGCAAGAAAAGATTTAAACATATGGCTGTTGCTTTCATTGCGCATTTAGTTTTAATGGATCTCATTGAAGCATGATTTGTATTCTGAATTAAAGGCCCAACAAATTTGGTAAGTTGGTTAACTTGTGGCGAATTCGGAAAATATTACAGTTTTATAGCATATAATGATAAAGAGCATATATGCTGGTTACTTCTGTTTATTTATTGTCAGGGGAAGGATTTAAATGTCAAACCCACAGTATTGGGGGGGGGGGGGGGGGGGGGGGTGCTGAAGTTAGTATTTAGGTTCAAGTTTCCACTTTCGTTTTTTTTTTAAAAACGAACCTGGAAAACAGAAACAAGTAAAACGGAATGTTAAACACCTCAGGAGACTACTCCACAAAAACCCGAATAATTACTTTAAATCCCACACTAATCATCAAGTTTGCAAAAAGTACAAACAACTTCTGAAAAAGAAAAAAACAAGAACATAAAGACAACCTCCATGAAAAGCTTTTGAACATTGAAGAGAAGAATCCCAAAGAATGTTGGCAAATTATCAAAAAACTTAAAAAAGAAGAGGATCAAAACAACCTTATTGCCCCTATGTATGGCACAATTATTTCCAACAACTGTGTGGTATCCCGCATCCCGTAGTATACGAAATGAAATGCTTAAGACTTGGCAACCATAATTAACTGGTGTGATAACTAAAATCTTTAACTTGGTCTTAAACTCTGGTGAGATTCCTTATGTTTGGAATTTAGGCATAGCCATACCACTCTATAAGTCTGGTGAGTGTTTGGATCCCTCAAATTACAGGGGACTTTGTATTACAAGCTGTTTGGGTAGGTTATTCAATTCTATTCTGGCAAATAGGCTAACTGACCTGCTTGAAAAGGAAGGCAAACGTAGCAAAGAACAGTGTGGGTTCAGACCAAGTTACAGAACAACTGATCACATTTTCAAACTTAAATCAATTATTTTAACAGATATACTAATCAAAATAGGAAGGTCTATGCATGTTTTATCGATTTTAAAAAGGCATTTGATCCAGTGTGGCACAAAGGTCTACTTCTCAAATTACAGAAACTTGGGATAGGAGGAAAATTTTACAGCGTGATTAAACAAATGTACAAAAATACTAAATTAGGAATCTCCACAGGCAAAAGTTATTCCAAACCCTTTTTGGCTAAAATTGGAATCCGCCAAGGTGATAAAATACGTTCAACACTCTTTAATGTATTTATAGACGACATAAAAGAATCCCTTCATACATGCAAAACCACAGACAAGGTAGATGGCATCAACCACATACTTTATGCCGATGATCTGGTCCTACTGTCAAGAACAAGGGACGGACTGCAAAATCTTCTGAGCAAACTAGAACAGGTCAAAAGTGGAAGTTACACATTAAATCAAAGAAAACAAAAATTATGGTGTTTAGCAAAAAGGGCAAACTTGACCATCAAACAAAATTTTACATAAATGATGAACCCATAGAAGAAGTAAAACAAAACCCATATTTGGGAATAGTTTTCTCCAACACTGGCTCATTAAAGGAAGCAATTGAACATTTGAAGAAAAGGCCTCTAAAAGCCCGGTTTTCCCTTAAAGGAGCACTTGCCTCTCAAAACATTTCCAAACCACTTTTGTGTATAAGCTTTTAGACAAACTCATCAAACCAATTTTGCTTTATGGTTGTGAGGTCTGGTCACAGGAGATACTAAAACAGAATAACATGTCTCTGAAAAAGATCAATAAAATGCCGTTCGAACCAGGTACACTTTAAGTTTTGCAAATGAATTTTAGGTCTAAGAAAGCAGGCTAGCAATACCATGTCTAGAGCCGAGCTCGGCAGGTACCCTTTGTTTTCAACTATAGCCAAACTTGTCCAAAGATATAGTCTTAGACTGGAACAACTGCCAGATAATAGAATTGTAAAGCAGGTGTACAATCTTGAGCAAGATACAAAGGGAAACACATGTACAGATTCCATCCAATCTTTTAACTATTGGGGTTAATCAGAAGATAGCAACTCACCAAAGAAAATACATCAAAGAGAAAAGCTAGTAGAAAAATTGAACATAAAAATCGAAAAACTCTTTTGGCAGGAATTAAATAGATGGACATCAAACAAATTAAGGACATATAAAACAATTAGAAAAACTTATGAATGTGAAAATTACATCAAAATGAGTGTCTCCTCCTTAGATATCAAAACACTGGCAACAATTAGACTAAGTGACCACGACCTGGCAATAGAAAGGGGCCGATACACAAACCCTAAAACTCCACCCGATAAGAGATAATGTAAAGCTTGCAACTGCGTAGAGGATGAAAAACACTTCCTCATGGAATTACAAGATACACTATTGAAAGGCAACGAATGCATGATGAGTTATTGAAAATCAGTGTAGTGGGTCTAGAGGACAGTGATCAGATATTGTCAATTCTTCTTAATCCACCCTGTGAAAAAAGTCTCAAAGTAATAGAAGAATTTGTAAAAACTGCTGTTAAAATACATAGTTCACCTACAATTTAGTACATCACAGCCACTAATTGTTGATAATGCTGTGAATAGCTTTAATAATTTTAATTAATTAATTAAAATTAATCTTATAGCATGCATTAACACGTGTGTAATTTAAGCATAACACATATGTAAACATATATAAATGTATATCCTCTATATATTGTGTAAATTATGTAGTCTAGTGAGCCAGCAAATGTATTCATACCATTCAGTTCTCAATAAACTTATTATTATTATTATAAATGTGCAAAAACAAATTTCCAACTGATTTAAGATGTATAACATAGAGGCCATTTATTAATTAGACCCCGATGTCATACATTTGAAATCAGACGGGTTTTGATTGATCTCAAAATGTGTATCATTTGGTGGAAAAGATGTCATGTATTTTGTTACATTGTTGAAGTTTTCATTTCTAATAACTTTGCCTTCAGTCGCCTATCTTGGTATCTGCCCTTTCCTTTGAAAAAATCTCTCGAGCCTGTCAGTGTGTTGTGTTATGTGCTTCTATTTGTGTGCATTCGAGTCTGTATTTGTGTGTGCCTGTGCGTGTTCCTGTGTATTGTTGCCGATTTTTCCAAAAATAAATGACTCAGTGTCGTTGTTCGCACTCACTACCAAATAAAATGAAATTTAGTTTGATAAAAAAATCATATCTCAAAGCATAAGAATTTTTTTTGTTTTAACCATGACATAAAATGTTGCCCCAGTTGTTCAAGCTTGTTAACCAGATTTTTGTAAATTTTTTAAAATAAATGTTTTGGTCAAATGTTTTCCAAGGGTACTGCGTTTGTACCGGATTGTCACTATACCAGATTCTGTCTGTAGAACACCAGAACTGAATAAAGGTCAAATTGACTTAATAATGCCAATTTCCAACATTTTCTTTATACAGTAGATCTACCGAAAACATCTGTTCATAAATTCTGTCAGAATATTCCTTTTTTCACGCAGCCATGCTGCTGCTTTAATCAAAATTGCTTAAAAAGGGTTCAGTACTTATGGTTCGTAATTATGTGTCATTTTCTATGGAAAAACAAATTTCCAACTAATTTTAGATGTATAACCAAATGTTACAAATTGAGATCAATCAAACCCCGTCTGATTTAAAATGTATGACATCGAAGTCTAATTAAACAATGGCCTCTATGATATACATCTAAAATCAGTTGGAAATTTGTTTTTTTTTTTCATATTTGAACCATTACGGCGACAAAGCGATGCACCGACTTATATTTTACTCCCGTTCATTATATACTTGTAACTATTTGCTTGAAAAAAATTTTGCCCGTATAGATCCACTTTGTAATATGAAGCAATTCAAAAAACAAATGCAATCGCCTGTTGAAAAGAGGGGTTTTCGTAACAAGTACAGGTCCGCCAAGCAGGTAAGTTGTTCAGAAAAACATCGTCGGCGTTCGTCGCCGCTACCCTCAGAAAAATGTATCCTCCATTTTGGTTATCTAAATATTAGTGCCAATGTACGTTTTAACAATTAATTTTGATTTTACTTATAGTTTGAACTTTCGATGTAAGACTTAAAAACTTATTCTCGTACTGTGGATATTTTTACATGTATGTAATTTTTGGCCATTTGTCACAACGAAGATATGACAATAACAGCCGTGTACTGTGGGACCGAAGCGTTGTACTTACTCTCTCTTTCTGTCTCTAATTCAAAGACTAACTGAGTGAGTAATGCTAACTTATTATTTATAAATCTACCGAAGCGAAGGTTTATATAATTTTGTCAGATTGTTCCTTTGATCTTTTCACGTCGCTGTGCCGCCGGTATGGTTAAAATATGCAAAAACAAATTTCCAACTCATTTTAAATGTATAAGATAGAGGCCATTTATTAATTAGACCTCGATGTCATACATTTTAAATCAGACGTGTTTTGATTGATCACAAAATATGTATCATTTTATTACATTGTTGAAGTTTCCATTTCTAATAACTTTGCCTTCAGTCGCCTATCTTGGTATCTGCCCTTTCCTTTTAAAAAATCTCTCGAGCCTGTCAGTGTATTGTGTTATGTGCTTCTATTTGTGTGCATTCGAGTGTGTGTTTGTGTGTGCCTGTGCGTGTTCCTGTGTATTGTTGCTGAATTTTCCGAAAAAAAATGACTCAATGTTGTT